CGGTAGATGAGCACAAGTACCAATATCCCTTCAGATTCCACAATCTCAAGGCCCGCTACCGGTATGATGTATAAAATTTGTCATTCGGACACGAGAGAGGAATTTGCTTGATCCCCTACCCATACTTTTTTTTTTTTTTTTTTTTTCCCTTTTCCTTTCCCTCCCTACTCCCTCCTAATCTCCAAGCAATCGTCGGTCGGCCTGATGCAGGGCTAACTTTTTTTTTTCTTTTTTTTCGCGTGCGCAAAGCCGTGATATAGCTTAGACGTAGCTCCTTATTTACGAGGCGGGGGGGGGGGGGTAAATACTAAATACCGGTATGGGAAGGAAGGAAGGAAGGAAGGGTGGTGGTGGTGGGATAATATCAGTTTGTTGCCAGTATCGTACTTTGTATCGTAAAAGATATCGCCGCAGCAGGACAAGCAGGCAGGCAGGCAAAAAGCAGGAAGGTGGGCAAGGGCCACGCACCATCTGAAAACGAACTGAATTCAACGACCCACGACCGTGTCTGTGGTTGCTCCCGTCCTTTTTTGCCAGAATTGGGAATCTGGTAACCCAGCGACGCAATCCACCACTTGAGACAGGCGCTACTCACACACGAGAAGGAAAACCTCCCAATCGTAAACCTTTTGTTTTTCCTTTTTCTCCTTTCTTTCCTTTTTTCCCTTGAATCAAATCGGATGGAGCACACTTCTACTTTCGAGGTAGGGAGATCCAGCTAGCCGACATCCATGCGAAAGTGTCGAAAAGTTACTCGTACAAGTTAACGAGTGCTTGCATATGATAACCACTTGTCACTTCCTGCTCGTCAGGGGGTCAAAAAGTCTTTGGATACCTTACTGTAACTCAGAGTCCGTGGAGTCCGAGCGGCACACAAATCTGTATGGGCCCAAGGTTAGGGTTTGGCGATTTATCCGTAGACTTTTTGACCTTGACGATTTTAAGATATAATACCACGGCGTTATAACGTTGAGGGACACCGGCAGCCGGTGACAATAACTGTACAGTACTGTCCGAGTACACCTACTGTACTCGTACAAGGGGGAAAATAAAAACAAGGATATCGCTTTGTTAGACAGTACGGGTCCTGCTGTTAGATGAGTACATGCAGTACGCTACATAACTTGTACCTTTTCCCCCATTTTCCCGCAAAACCCGGCATGGGGGATATAAGGTAACTCACGGAGGAGGAGGAGGAGGAAAAAAAGAAGTTTACCGGTACTCGAACTTGGGGGGGGGGAAATGGAATGTGGTGAAAAACAAATCATCATCATCATCATACCGGATATCATAATTATCATACTATCCTAGGGTACTCGTACAACGATTAGACTGACTCGCTGCCCGAACTCGACTCGCTAGCACTGGGGTAGGGTTCTGAAAAAGCGTGGAGCTGAATTTGTTCTTCTTGCCGATCGAGGGAGTTTCCCGACGCGAACATTTTCTGTGGCTTTTCTTGAAGAGTCTGCGGTCAGGTCTCCCTCCCCCTCCCCACCGCAAAACCAATAAGTGTGGCGGACCAAGCGTTACTCTTCAACGTGATCTTCGAAAGGAAGGAAAAAAAAAAAAAAAAAGAAAAAGAAAGAGGACCCTTTCCTTTTTCTTTCTTCCTCTCCTTGCTCTGCTCTTTCCCTTTTGGCTTTCCCACTCTTCGCGAAACCTCACATGGTTTCCCAATCCTTGCACAATTACTCGAGTATTAGCCAGGCGCGATGGGATGCTTTTACTGCCTGAGCGGTTCTGCTTTTGCTTGTGGGTCACGATTTCGGTGATACACCACAAGTTCAGCGAACCGTACCGGTATTGGAGAAAGTACCGTACCGTTACCCATACTTACCACCACCACACACAACCACCGAGACCTTTCCCTCTTTTTTTCTTTTTCTTCTTCCCATCCAGCTCGAACTTCCCACGCTTTCGCTTTGTCACCCACTCTGTGCTGTGCGTGGAGATGGATTCCTGTTATCTACCCATAACCGGTAACGGGATTCTGGAGTTGTGCTGAATATGCGAGCTAATGCCCATGCTACCGTATGCCGTGCTTCACATTGTTCTATTTTACTTTTTTACTTTTTTCCCTCTTCCCTCTTGATAGGCTCAATGCGTGCTTTTTTCTTCCTTTTACACCCTTTTTTTTCCTTCCCTTCCTTCTGTTTCTTGCCCCGCCGCTCGGGTACGCCTCCGTGTCGAAGGCGTGAGTAGGGTATACGAGTAATAATACTCGTACGGTGCTCATCTCGAAGTGCTGGCTGCAAGTGACACTACAATCAAATATCCCTTTGTTTCTATCATTTCCACGCCCTGCGGTGAATGACGCATGCGTTGAATTATGAGTAACGTAAGGAACCAGGCGAACTGAGTTAAAGTGCTTTCTGCAAACTGGTCGAAGGGGTGGAAGACAGGCAATAGTCTACGGTATTAAAATGGTAGGGTTAAAAAAAAAGGAAAGAATCGGTCGGTACATGTGGTCTGGTCTAGATGATACTTTACGTGCCTTAGGAACGATCGTCGGCAGGTTGGCGATTCGCCGCGAAAGCAAGCGTTGCCACATAACTGTAATCTCGGTGGACACGAGGGAGGAGGTACTTACTGTACAGTACTAGTACTCGTACTCGAGTACATGCTTTAGAGCATGGAGTCGAGTGGAGCACAGTGGACGTGGAAAGCAGAATACAGTAGAGGTTTGCAAATTGTAAATCTCATCAAAACAAAACAAAACAAAAACCTCCGCGCCACGGCAACCTTGTTTGCGGGGAGGGGATCACTCGTACCATGTTGCCAAAGTAGAGCTCACTACTCGAGCATTGCTCATGCATGATAATGTTTCCGAGGCAAAAGGAAAGTCTGCCGTATTGTATCATGTTTGACGCGACGGTGAACGAACGGGAGGCCGCACTCACACGAGTATAGTGCTGTAATGGCTGATTGATGAATAATACAGGTAAATATCAAACACGACGCCGGATCTCTTGGCCGGGCCGTTCGAAAGGAAACCCCCCAATCACCAATCGCCCCCTGCTGCCTGTAGCGTGGGACAAGATGAGGGAGAATCAGAACCAAGAAGCGCAAGGAAAAAGTGGAAAAAGGAAAGAAAGTCAAAATCAGAATCCAATACCGAAGTCAACCCAAGCGTCTGAGGGAATGAATTTCTAAACAGGTTTACCCTCTGATTGGATGCGTTGTTGTCATTGTTGTCGAAAAGGAAGCCTGCGGCGCGCGAATGCAGCCAACCATTCGCTCTCGATAAAAAAGTGTCTGATTAAATTGTGGGAGAAAAAGCGCCCCACGCCTGTGATACCCATCGCCTAGGAGGATCGGGGTCACTAGCATGGGGATAATAGATTTCCCCTCCTCACCGAGGAAGGGGGGGGAAGGGAAGGAAAAGAAACATCATGAGTCCTTTTTTTTTTTTTTTTTCTCTCCCTCTCTGTCTCCTCCTTCCATTCTTCCACTTTCCCCAAAGGCTTTGATGGATGATCCTGAGGGGGTTTGCTCTTAACAAATGAACTGGAATCAACAGGGTTCCTATCAACCGATCACGAACGGGGGAAAAAGGAAAAAGGAAACCCCCTACCGTACTCGAGTACCGTAGTGTCGTGCCGTAGCGCTCGGATAGTGAGTTAGAGGGAATAATGGACAAAAAATAAATAAAAAGGCAACTTGGTGATGATTGAGCGAAGGGAGAGAGACAGGAGGACACGGTACAATTGTCTCGGAATGCAAAATACCGGTAACTTATACTCGAGTATTATATCGTGGAAGGTCTCTCTGGCGAAGGGGGAAAATTAAAAATAAATAAAGGAGTTTGGATCACAATGCGGTCTTGCTCGCCCAATCAGATCTCCATGACCTCGGAAGCAGCTTACCTTTCAACTGACATTGCATCGTTACCTTTTGTGTCCCCACGCCTTCCTTCCCTTCCCACCCCGCCCCCCCCTCCATATGCGACACTGATGTATCGTCGTCCAAAACTCGTGGTTTGATATCAACTTTTATTATCTCCCTTTTGCCTCGTTCGGGATCTGGTCGTCAGTAATCTGCTAGTCCGCTTTCGGTGGATGTCGTCCTACAAAAGCGCCGTCGGCTTAGTAGCCGTGGGGCCCAGGGGGGGACAGCAGTCATCCTGTAATTATCGTAGGACCTCTCCCTCTCTCCCTTTGCCCTTTCTCCTGCTCCGGTCTGAGATATCGAAATTTGATCATGATAAAACTTTCGAAACATCCCACGAACCAACCAGCCAGCGCGAGTGCGAACAGGCAGGTCATCAAGCCGTTCCAGCCCATTGAAGCACCCCCCCCCCCCGCCGATAAACGTTCCCTTGCTGATCAGCCCTTACACTACGTTGTGATAATCCATCATCCATCCCACGATATGACAATATATTCATGTCATTCCTTCATAGGGCCGCATTTTTTTTTTTCAAAATCCGTTGTGATATCCTCCTTGACCGACCAACCGACCGACGGGGGCCTAAGTGACACTCGAGTACTCGTACTTGTACCCTTATAGTTCCCTGTTTCCGGGACCAAATGGGTTCCATAAATCTCGTGGGCCCTATCTTATGCAAGGTGAAGCCATCGAACACTTGACCGAAAAAGGTCTGAGGCACCTGGCTAAATTGAACAACTTTGCCTGCTCGCCTGCCTACCTGCTTTTACTCTTGCCTTTGCTTTGCTTTGCCAACCAGCCAGCCTGGCTACGGTAGGCACCTACCTGGCCGGGCTGCTCAACTGGGGGCTGCTGGTTAACTGGCTGACTTCTTCCCGATATGTGCCCATTTCTACGGGAAAGCGATGCAAATTACCTGCTTGTTTGAAGGGACGTAAAAATGTCACAGGAGAGAAGGAAAAATAGCAACCTCAAACATAGCACATCGGTCGATAATTCTACACGAACGGTTAAAGTTATTATTGCGGTGACCAGTTGATCGCTTGCGTTCTTTCTGTTTCCTTTTTCTTGCCTTTTTTTCTTCTTCCCATTCAATCTCTCTCTAGTCGCTCATCAATCGTCTTGGTTTTTTTTTTTCTTCCAAGGGGGGTTTTCCCGTCACTTTCATTCCCCCAACTCCGACTTTCGTTCCACTAAATGAACGCGAGCTAGCCGTAGTATGTGTGTTCGAGTAAATTGACAAAAAAAATGTAAGTGATAAAAGGGAAGCGAAAAATAATCTGAGGGTGTAGGAGATACGGTACGTGCACCCAAGGTCATGCAGTGGGGGGAATGTTTACGGCACGGTATGCTGGCAAATCCTTCGTGGATCTTGATCCAGATTTTGACCGTAATTCAAGGGCTTCAGCCCCTCGTACACACAAAGCGGGGGACAATATTATGTAGCGGCGTAAGGACGGAAGAAAATTTTAATCTTTTTTTTGGGGGGGGTTCACCAGACCCGGCCCTAGGCCCTTTGAGACCTTGAACGAGCTAACTCCGTGGCGACGCTAGAAGCAGCCTAGATTAGAGCTGGTCGAGTGAGAGGATGGGAGGGAGAAATCAAGGGAAAATTTAGGTGGTGGAGAGAGAGGCCTGGAGCAAGGCAGTTCTCCGCGCACCCGCCGAGGATGGTAAATCATGCCAAGGGCCAATCACAGCGAAAACACGGCGAAAACACTCATCATGCTCCAAATGTTGAAATGTTGATAAGTACCGCGTCGCAGCCGTCATGATACCGCCCCCGTAACCAAGGGACTTGTGCTCGCCCAAAGTATGGCTGAGTGAGAAAAAGTGCTGATACCGTAAAATGCGCGGTATATGGACCGTAACTTACCGTTGATAGGACAGGGCCAGAACAAACGAAAATAAAACATTTATTACCATCAATTTCGCAGTTTCAAGGTTGGTCACTTCCAATATTAGTTAACTTGGTTTTATAATAGGTCGCACGGATGCCGGATGATGACTACATGTTTCCTATTCCTTCTCGTTATCCTTTCCCTTCCCTTGGGTGGTGGTGCAGACAGGGCAAGCCGTGAAGATTGCTTCGATTGTGAAGTTTGATGGTGTTGGACGTCGGTCAGGACTGCATGATTGGGTGAATCGGAATCCCAACCTGCGTACCGTACCCAATTCTTTATTTCTTTTTCCCAAATTTTTTTTTTTTTTTTTTGCTCTTCCCCGCCTGCCTCCGCCCTCCCACTCCCGTATTTGGTTGACGACAACCCCATACAGCATTAGCATCAGGCATTGGCTTGCCTTGCGCATGGCATAGGAATTACCGTATTTGCTACCATCTTTCCATGTTTTCTCGATTGATTTCCTGTGCCAGTGATAAACCGTCGTGGTCCAGCCAACCAACATAGACGACTGCATCGTGCTGTAAACCGCAGCTAGCCCAGCCCCTTGAGTGCCCAGCCATCCCCTAGAGTTCAAGTCCCTGTCCGCCTCCTTTCATTGCATCCATACATATCCTGCCTCATCTTTCCGGAAATCGCCAAGCAAGGAATGAAGGGATAAAAGAAAAAAAGGAAAGGACTCCCCGGTAGGTACTTGTGGCAAAGTAAGACCCGGAAGTCACGTTATGCGCTAAGGAAGGAGGAGAAAAAAGTAGAAACCAAGGTCAAGTACAGTACAAACCATGAAAAAGCAAAATGGGGGGTCAAAAAAGAAAAGGAATTCAAATAAAAGTGAATTTCGGCCAACCATGTCTAGAAACATCCGATACCGGAACACTAAAAACCTGGGCGGGCGTACCGTATGCGCTTTCAGGGCTGTCGTGACTCGTGAGCTTTTCTGGGATGCTTTTCTGCCTGTGCCTCGTCGTTTCGCTACGGTACGATGTGCTCGAGTACGAACCTGAGCATGACCATGTCAAGACCGGACTTCGACCATTAGCACCTGCTGGGCTCTCTTCCTTGTCCGGAAACCTCAAGATGGCTTTGTTGGGTCTCGATAGCAGGCACGGAACGCTGATGCAAAGCAACCAGCATGGTTGATTACTTTCGAGGGGGGGGTGGTTGTATGGAGGGGTAGTGGTTATTTGGGATGTGTGTGGGGGGAAGAGGCAAAATGCAGTGAGGGTTGAAGGGGTGACAAAGGGCTGTAACAAAAAAAAAAAAAATTTCATCCAAACTGGCGGAATCGTCATATCCGGCAAAGTTTAGCTCTTTTTCTCACTCTATCCGTGAAAGCTGGCTCGCGCAGTGGGCAACACAAAGGAGCTAAGCAGATAGTCAGTGCAAGTGCATTCGTTAGTTTTACTTAGGAGCCGGAGGGAGGAGTAGGAGGAGCGAGTGACTGACTGACACCACCCTGGCGACCTCAGCTCTAGCATCAACCAGCAGCGCCTGCCATGGCTGCCGTAGGGTTAGTCTACCGGTAAGAGGAAGGTATCACTATCACGGGTACATCGTATCATGAGAATGGGGGAGAATGAGAGCAATCTTCAATACCGGTAAAAAACAGAACTAGGATAACAAAGGCTCCTGTGGGCTTGCTGTTTGAATGATTTCTTATTCGAATTACCGGTGTTCTATGATGTTACTCAAGTATGATATCTCTTTCTCTCTTGCTCCTTCTCTTTACGATAAGGTCAAAGTGTATCTTAGGTATCATATGTGGATGTTTGATTGTTGTTTGTGTGTGTGTGATGGTGTTATTGCAGCTTTATGTTTTAGCCCCACCGTACCCTCTGTACTGTACAAGTACGTATCATACCAGCTGGAAAGACAGTGAACAGTTAATTTAGGTTAACCCGCAAAATAATCCCTGCGAAAACATTTCTCTCCCCTGGCACTTGTCTGGTATGATGCCTTCTTTTTTTTCTCCACTCTGCAGCGAATAATGTGCTGTACCCTTATTCCGTTTCCCATCCAATTCATCCATTCTCCACCAACAGGGAGGCAGATGCACCAGGGACAATCCTTAACACCAATTTTGTGCCCACTTCGCTCCCCCATGATATCCATCCTCCATCCCTTCTTTGAGTCCTTTCTCTTGGTTAGGCTTGTTCTTGGTGCTTTTTTGGATGCTTTGTGTTTGGTTGCTTGGTTGCTCTTGCTTTGGCTAACTAGCCTACCTGACTGTTACCCACACCCTCACTCACCCCTGCTATTCGTTCTCACACCCCCCCCATTCCCATTCCCTTCCTTCATCCATTCAGTTCGCTCCCATCGTTCATACACCCACCCAATGCCACCCACTCACAACCCCCAGTCCGGTCCATCCACATTCATCCCACAGCCAACGCCAACCCCTTCCTTCCTTCTCTCCCCAATTCTCTCCAAACACAATCCCTATGGCCCCAAGGAATCTCACACATCCCCTTTCCCATCCGATACACATTGTACGCACACAGCTTAGCGGAACGCGCATGCCCTCACACACTCACTTCGCCCGGCACGCGCCGCTTACTTGGGAAAAGTGGCAAAGCCCGTCTTCATTACATCAAGGGTTCGACGAACCTCGTCTCGACCACAGTCCGTCTGGTTCCCTTATTACGGTTTCCGTTGAGACATGACATGACGCCAATGCCAGAAGCAATTCCGGGTCATGCTCTGGGTTTCTCTAGAAATAATAGTATTATTCTATCCACTCGCCGTTTACTTCTCCTTTCCCGCTGCTCCCACCGCTGTACTTGCAATCATTCTCCTGCTGTTGCCGCCTTCTCTCCCCCAACTCCGAGGCCTACGCACTACCGCACAGCACAGCACAGCTTTCTCTTCCTTGCCTGACCTCTCGGTCTTGACGAGGCCATAGCGGCAGTGTCTCTTTATCATCCTCTCCACTGCCTGCGGGGTTGATTATTACACAGACTCGGACAAGTTCCATACCACTTTGAACTCCACAATCACCCTCAGGAGAATATATACCATTCTGTCCCCTCGGCATTACCTTGGAATTTCTTCCCATAAACCCCCCCGCAAACAAGTTGCCTTAATGTTGAACTTCGCAGCTCGACCACTCATGCATCCTCACACCGCTCACCATCCTCTGGAAGGGTTACAATCCTACCATCATTCAACATCTGTTTGTCCCATCCCACCACGACGGTCCAACTCTTATGATTGGCAACGACCTATCTCGGAGGCGTCTTGCAAACCTTCACATCTGCCATCACGAATTCCTTCAACGTCTTTCGTGAAGCCGGGTCTTCAAACCCCCCCTCCAGATATGACCAATGAGGGCGTGGGCCCATTACTGCCCCCCAGTTATGGTCAACTTCAGCAATTCGAGCCTCAGGTTGGTCGTGGGTTACCTGGACCGTTGGAAATATTTAGGATACCGAGCGAGGATCCATACCCATCACTCCTCCCTTCCAAGAGAAGGGAGAGCCCACCATCGTCGAGAAGAAATTCAGTGGTTCAACAACAGCAGCGGTCACGGGAGGAGCAACCTGCCAGACGACGAAGAAGTTCCACTAGTGATGCAAGTGCTTCATTGACCGTCCCTTCCACTATCAATGGATCAAAGGCAAATTTGGCAGAGTTTGCATCACAGGTGAGCATTTGCTTCGCCTTCCTAGTGGTGTATTGCCCTTTCTAATTACATTTATCAGATCACTTGTTTTTTGTGGTTTGAGTCGTCAGCTGTGCTCCAGAGGGTAGCAGAGTCGACAGCTGCACCGATTCCTCAGGCTCCTCTTGCATCGGATGCAATCCCAAGCCTAGGATTCCGTAAATGGGTCACAACAATCTTATCAACTACCCAGGTGTCACAAAACGTCATTCTACTAGCCTTACTATTTATATACAGGTTGAAGAAACTCAATCCTACGGTAAAGGGGAAACCAGGCAGTGAATTCAGACTTCTTACTGTTGCGTTGATGCTGGGGAATAAGTGTATGCCCCCCCCCCTCATTGGAATGTAATTTTCTGCAGTCCGGTGGACTGACTTTTCATCAGTTTTGGATGACAACACTTATACCAATAAGACGTGGGCGGAGGTTTCGGGAATTGCGGTGCAGGAGATTCATGTGATGGAGGTGGAATTTTTAAGCAACATGAGGTACAGCTTGTTTGTTGGGGATGTGGAGTGGAGGGCATGGCATAAAACTCTTGGCAAGTTTGCGTCATATTGGGACAAGGCTTCGAGGGCGCCAGTCGAGGTATCTTCTAGGGCACTGGCACCTCGTACACCTACCCTACCGTCGATTCCCAGCTCTTTGCCTTCTCCGCCGGCGACTTCGTCCAATGGGTCATCCAGGTTGGTTTCTACAATGCCGACACCAACCCCGGCATTGCATCAACTATCGGTTCCTTCTCAACTCATGCCAGCACATTCTCCGATTACCCCTATGCCCCAACCCGACTTTCAGCCTTCCAGGAAAAGGTCCTTTGACCCCACAATTAGCATGCAGCCACCAACGAAACGGGTTACTCGTTCAATGGCTCCTAAAATATCTATTACTGTGCCACAGTATTCTGCACAGATACCCGCTCATGCTCCGAGGTTGCCTGCCAATAACTACCCTCCGGTCACTAGCCAGCCCCAGCAGCAATCGCAGTCATTACCAATGATGCCACTGAATCAATTACCCTTTCCCAACGCCGGGGGTCGTGCAATGTCTACAGTGTATTCTCAACCCACGCCTCAGATATCACCTGTTAGCACAGCTCCCATGACTGTTTCTCCTTACAGCGCACATTCTCGTACTGCTTCTCCTTACTCTCAACACCAGACTGTTCATCACTCAGCTGCTTCCTCTCCAACCACCCCCGGTTTTGGGTCACAGCAATCCCCGACATGGGTACGAAACTCCCCATACAGGCCTGTCCGCAGAGTTAACACCTTGCTGGTTCCACCTGCACCAATGTCACCGGAAGGGATGGGTGTGTCATGGCAACGGATGCATTATCAGCCATTGGCCAAGACCAGAAGCGAGTATAAAACCGGTGTTGTTCCATATCTTCAAACCGACTGGCCTCCCGTTTGGTCTAGTCCTACCCCCGACTTTCATGTATAAATTATCCCGTTTCCTTTTTATTTTTTTATTTATTATTATTATTATTACTGGTAGTCTTATGCACGTGGCATGGATGAGCGACTATTGGTACTTGTGTATCGCATTTTAAAGTGGATGGGGCGGCTTGCTTTTTTGTTTTATTGCGCGGTTTCTTTTACTTGTTGACAGCCCAGTACATACCAGGTTTCCTTTTACGATTCAGATGACATTTCGGAGGAATCATTTTGATAAGACGGTTCGGCTTGGGCATATGACAAACGTCATTGTGGTCACCAACCCTGACTATCGATTGGCTCCAGTGTATCATTATTCACTTTTTACACTTCAAGTCATCGGCAATTTTTATATTTTTATTTTTTTTCCTATTGGGTGTTTCTCATTTTGGGCATTGCAAGCATGGGGAGTGGAGTTCGTTTTTTTTTCTGTATTTTTTCCCCCAACATCCTTTTTATTTTTTTTATCCTTTTTTTTACTTTCTCGTCCCTGGGATACATTTTCTTTCTGTTTTTTTTTCCTTGCATGGATCTCGTAAAAACCACAAACTGTAAGTTAAAAGTGGGGCAAGGTACGGCACAACGGGGTACACGGTACATGGTAAAACAAGAAAGAAAGGGAAGGAAAAAGAAAGTCAAACATTTTCGAACCACATCATTGGTGTTTTTTTTCTGCAAACCATGATGTGGTTCACACCCAGTAGACATTTTCTCCCAGAGCTCACACTATCTGTGACCTTGTTACTCGTACTGTCCTCTAGTTTGTGATACCCGTGACTTCGTGTATGGTACCATAGCGGTATGCGTGTTCTCTCTCCCGTACGATCAACCAAATTTTATTGTCCTGACACCGCCGAACGGGCAAAGCTAGACAGTTGCTTAGCCCGAGCACAACTGGCGGAACCCCCGTACTTGTACCGTCCCGCGTTCGTACAGTACCTGTACCGGTATTGCACTTGGATGCTATCATATAATATTATATTATGATGGCGGTATGATACCGCTACCGTAGCGGTCTTTTTTCATCTCTCGCCCCTCGTCAGTCAGCCCCGTTGCGGGCCGGGCGGGTCGGGGTTTTTTTTTACTCATCTCATACCACAATATAATTATGTTTCCGTTTCCATTTGCGTACGGTACAGTACAGGTACCCGTACAAGTACCGTACATGCACGAGAATAAGTTCCAAGTTCCGGTGTTGTGCGCCGGGGCTATATATAACATACATATAAAAGAGTGGGGAGTGTGCAGTGGAAAAGGGGGAGAGGGAGGGAAAGAGGTAGTATGGCGGTTTCCGGAGCTTTGGTCGGTCGCCGGAGCAAGCAAGCAAGGAGATGGACGGAGGTAGAGTTTGGCGAGTGATGTGCTGTGATTTCCGGGTTGGTGTGTATAGTAGCACACGTGCGGGTTGAGTCTATAGTACCTGCCTGCCCACCGGTGCCGTACATTACCGGTATCATACTTACTATGATGCTATAGTTCTATCCGGGGGGGGGTGGCCTTTGTCAAGCCCTGGTATACAATACCGTACTATAAATTTACGGTGGCGGTTTCGGTCAGTTCTCATAAAACAGACACTCATCCAAGTTCGTTCGTGGCAAAACGGCACCTCTTCTCTCCAAACAACCCCCCCCCCATTTTTTTCTTTCTTTCCCCAAAAATGTGGTTTGGATGGGGGGGGGGGATGTTGAAACCAATCGACCAACCGACCGACCAACCAACGCCCCCCCCTTCCATATTTCGAGTTAATTTATGGTTTAACCCCACCCCCCGCATACACATACTATATGATACCCCGCTTTGGCCAATCCTTGGACTAAACGCCACCCGGTTCCGTTCGTGATGGTCCATCCATCTCTTGTCACTCTTCTCCGCGAATGAGTTTGCCGTCGAACCTGCGTGTACGGTACAGTACAGTACTTGTGTACCGATATGTACGGTGTGTGGCTTGTGCGGTCCCTTGTATGATAGCTACGATAACTATGGATTTCAAGTAAGAGTGACTCTAGTCGCAATACCGGTACATTGGTATTTTTTTTTTATCTTTTTTATCCGTACAGTATGATACATACACAGGACTATTAGGTGGTTTTTTTTTTTTTTTTTTGTATGATACTAAAAGTGGTTGTATTTACAATCGTATTATCACGACTTTGGTCGAGAAAAAACACATTGTTTAGTAATCAGACAATGAAAATGAAAAAATGAAAAGGAAAAGTTTTGCTCACAGCACCTTTTCCCACATCCGCACCGGAAAGGCCTCTTTGGAAATCCCAATATCATACCTAGTTGGTCACCGAGCGGTATAGTATGGTACAATCTCTCACGTCAGAAAAAATACCTCCGTGCCGTCCCCCACCCCTATATCATCCAGTACTCGCTCCGATACCGATCCCATTCTATCGTAAAAAAAAAAAAGTTTAAGCGGCTCAGTCCGAGACGGGTTTGCACACCGATTCCGCGGGGGGTATTCGTGAAGAAGTGGAGGTGTTCGTTCATTCTTGAACAGGAGGAGAGCAGGGAGTAGGTGTTGGATCGGGCATGTTACACTTGCGCTGGGATCGTGCGGTTTGGGATAGGAAGTTGGGTGCTTCGGACATATGGAATGTGGTGGCGGGGTCTGCTGGTGGGAGGTTTTTTTCGTTCGGCTGGTTTTCGCGAGTGATGTTTCATGAAGGACTATATGGGTATTGAAAATATATATATATATATATATATATATTTGGGGGGGGGGAATGGTAGTGTTCTGCTATGGTATGCTCTGTGGGATGAAAAGTGGGCATCTGGTGGATGGCAGGGCATTATACTAGATTCAACTCCTGGTGTGATGCCCGTGGGGAAATCTTGGCGGCGGTTTGGCAGGGGTCGGTGTGATCTGTAGCAAGTAATTTTTGTTACCCTCCCTTGACTATTTCCCCTTTCGCACACGTACAGTACATAGTATCATACCGTAAATTTACTCACCGCTTTTGTCACCCTCCTGGTTTCGTCGTGGTGTACGAGCACAGGACAAGTAGACTACACTACCGGTACTACGAGTACAGTGAAGACTCCATTGGGATGGTCCAGAGATCTGGAAGAACTCGATAATAGTCTATGGGATGCATGGATTTCCTCTTTTCCGCATTCGTCGCGGTAAAAAGCTACGAGTATCCATACTAAAGTGCATTACGGTCTGATGACGAGGAAGCAGTCCGATGACGATCTAGTAAATTTTTTTTGCGGGAAATTCGATCTTATCTCCACTGATCACTTGCTTGCTTTATCATACGGGAAAAAAACTCCTTATCAGAGACTGTCTTCGTCATCAGACCGTAAGGATGTTTTTTTTACCGGTATTTTTCTCAAAAGCAAAGGTAAATCTGGGGGTACGAGTAAGTAATTATGCCCTTGTAGTTTATTACCCGTAATATTTTCTACTAGAACTTGTTCGAGTGCTTGGTCGGGGATCTCCGCTGATGGATGGGTGTAAATGCGGTTGCCAGGGGGGGGGAGGGACGTGGTTTGCTCCGACGATGCGGAAAAGCATTTGGCCGGCATGCGATAGCTAAATTACGGTGGGAGATCCCGATTTTATTGATTCGTGTTTATATTTTTTTGCCTTGATTGCGCTTATGTGCAAGCAAGCTGAGAGGGATAAAGAGAGATGGATGGCAGCCTACTCGAGTATAGTTGATGGAAGGGTGGTGGCTGTTGGTGAAAGAATTGTGGAGGTAGCCAGGGCAATGTATACCGATATCATAACAATTCGTGCTTTCAATATTTTCCTTCGTTCCAAAGCTCCCTGACCTTTTTTTGCGAGTAGTGAGTGTCCATTCATTCTCTTCGGTCTCATAAAGCCATACGGTAGTTTTGGCTACTCAGTGATGACCTAGCTAACGGAATTGATGACCCCGAGGGGTTAATCCATCCTTTCCTCAGGTAGCGGTGCTATCGCCTTCTTCGGTTCGGACGTGAGGTTCTGAATAGGTACAGTACACACGAAGGGATAGTCAATCCTAAATACTGTTCTCGAGCGTTGAACGATGCCTACGCCTGCGCGTCCATCTAGGCAGTGTAATTATTAGTCATCGCGATAAACTCACCCATCATCAATTGATTGCTGAGAACCCTTTCAATTGCCCAAGTTGCCTTGTGCCCCTTGATCAATTCAGTGACCAGCTCGTCTGCTTGTGGATGACTTCCCTCCAATCATATTTTCATCGCAATCCGCCCTCACTGCAGGCTCACGGGCGGGACTTCTTTGGGAACCTGCCGCTCGTCTCGCTCCCTAACTAAAGAGGATCTATCACCCGGTCTTTGAAAGGAATTCCATGAATCATGTGGAAGCCAAGATCTACTCGAGTATCATACAGCACCCGCACTCGGTTGCTCGCCAGACGGCATCCAACCTTTATCGGAGAAAGCATACCGGTAGGGATTGCAGTGACGTCTTGATATGGCTTTTCTTCTCTCTCTCTCTCTTAATGGGTCGCTGCTGACTCTTTTTTACTTTCCTGCTTTTTTTTTTTTTTTTTTTTTTTTTTTTTTTTTGAGGTGGCGTCGAAGTCTTATCATCCAATCTGACAAGTTTGCATTACGCCTCAACGAGGCCGCTGCCATCAAGATATGTCGCACCGATATCGAAGAGCAATTTTCTCTCAGATGGCCTGGGTGACTGGGTTTGTTTCTGAGGTGGTCAGAATCTTCAGCCAATGGGCGAGTTCCGAAGAAGTGTGAACGGTCGGCGCACCCTATTATAAGGCAAACAGTTACTTTTTTTTTCCTTTTTCGGCGCACAAAGACAGTTTGTTCTGCCGCCGTTTTCTGGGTGTTGCACAGATGGAACGTGTGGTTCGAGGTTAGCTTTCCATCCGATTTCTAGTTTTGGACCCTGTTCACAATTTTCTTTTTCCTTTTTTTCCCCCTTCCCTCTAGAATTTTTTCCCGTCCCTCCCCGTGGAGCCTCACCACCACCTTTGTTCCTCTTCTACTTAGGTCGGCCCTGTATTCGGCCTTTACGCTCAAACACGTCGGTTTTCCCTTTCCAATAGCGAAACCAAAAGCATCACAGCTATGAATGCCGCAGTCAGATTCCAACCCCTTGCCAGTGCACTGGTGGCTCGCAATTCACGCTTGATTGTCCCTCGCCAGATCATTAGGCAAGGGTTCAAGCCAGAGCCAACCCAGTCATTTCGTCGCGGTTTTGCTTCCGACGCTACAATCCCGAGGCCAAAACCAAGGAAGAGGTTCCGAACCCTTAGGATTGCTTGGAGATTGACACTGGGCTTGACGTTTCTGGGAACTGGGTGGTTAGCGTATTCCATTTACGAGACTAGATTTCCCCGCGAGCAAATCGAACCTGATCCGGCAAAGAAGACGCTCGTTATCCTCGGTATGTTTTCTTCTCGAGCCACCAACTACTACAATTTTTAAGGGAGTATAGAGCACTGATTTTACTGTTTTGCTGGTTAGGTTCTGGATGGGGCAGCGTGGCACTGCTCAAGAAATTGGACACGGAAAATTATAATGTTGTAATTATTTCTCCAAGGAACTTCTTTCTATTTACCCCTCTACTCCCCAGCTGTCCTACCGGAACCGTCGAGCATCGGAGTATCATGGAGCCCCTGCGTCACATTATCCGGCACAAGAAGGCTTCAGTGAAATTCTATGAAGCTGAGGCAACGAAAATTGATAATGAACGTCGCGTTGTTGTTATAAACGATCTTTCCGATGTGAAGGGCGATGTGCATCAGACGGAGGTCCCTTTCGACTACCTTGTGGTAGGGGTTGGCGCAGAAAATGCTACCTTTGGTAAGTGGTGGCGGACCTGCCATTATTTAGCCAATTGCGTTGCTCACAAGCTGCTACAGGGATACCGGGTGTTCGCGAGCACGCATGTTTCTTGAAGGAGATCAATGATGCCCACAAAATCCGGAAAACTGTCATGGATTGTATCGAGACCGCCATGTTCAAAAACCAAACACAGGAGGAGAAAGAGCGCCTTCTTCACATGGTAAAAATTTCCATCCTTTCCCTTCCTCTTTCAAAGAAATATGATGGCGTGTCTATTTCTTGGATTCTATGGGGGGGGGCTGCTAACCATCCATGTTACCTAGGTTGTGGTCGGAGGCGGACCTACTGGTGTTGAATTTGCGGCAGAGCTGCAAGATTTCTTTGAGGATGACTTAAAGAAATGGATTCCGGATATTGCCGATGATTTCCATGTTACACTCGTTGAGGCGCTTCCTAACGTAAGAGCCCATGTAACAGTGTTTTCTGACATGTGAACTTTGCGGCTCATAACTTGCTTTCTAGGTCCTACCCATGTTTAGCAAGACTCTCATCGAGTATACCGAGAAAACCTTCAAGGACGAAAAGATCTCGGTTCGCACCAAGACAATGGTCAAGAATGTTACCGACAAGCATATTGAAGCAGAGGTTACCCATCCCGACGGGAGAAAGGAGCTGCAAAGGATTCCCTATGGATGTCTTGTTTGGGCTACAGGAAATGCTGTGAGACAAGTCGTCCGAGATCTGATGTCGCAGCTCCCGCAGCAAAAGAACTCTCGTAGGGGCTTAGCGGTTAATGAGTATCTTGTTGTCGATGGCACTGATGGTATCTGGGCACTTGGCGACTGTAGTGCTACCAAATATGCTCCGACTGCTCAGGTGGCATCACAGCAGGGCGCCTTTTTGGCGCGCTTGTTCAACTCTATGGCTCGGACACAAGCCCTAGAATCTGAACTGGATCACCTCGAGGAGCTCTCCGCACAGACAACAGCCCAAGAGGATCGCGAATCACTAGAAAGGGAGATCCAGAAGAAGGGCAAGGCGATCAGAAGGGTCAAACAGTTGTCACCCTTTGAGTACAGTCACCAGGGAAGTTTGGCTTACATCGGGATGGAGCGCGCGGTTGCTGATATCACCTGGTTCAACGGAAACGTAAATATCCTCATCACTTACCCCGTAACTATTTATCGCACTCATACTAACCGGATTACCTAGTTGGCTTCCGGTGGATCATTGACTTACCTCTTTTGGAGGTCTGCTTATTTGTCAATGTGTTTTGCTAGTACGCATTACCCACTCCACGTGTTAGATCCGAAGGATTGACTAACATTCTAATCTTACACAGCTCGTAACAGAGTCTTGGTGCTTATGGATTGGATAAAAGTCAAGGTTTTTGGTCGCGATGTTTCCAGGTAGCTATCCTGACACCTTCCCTTGGACTCTTGTTCTCGAGGTCACTGCTCTGTTGAAAGACAAAAACACAGCGATGACCTCGAGAATTGGATCCCCTGACCTGACCTTAGTACCTCATTCTAATACCTCAAAAAAACTAGGGAATAATTATTTTCAACGCGTAAAACCGGTTCGCCTGATTTAAATGAACCTTTTCTTTTTCTTTTTCTTTTTCCCTTTTTCTTTTTCCCTAATAGACATCCTTTTTGAACCGGACCTCTCCTGAATTAATTTTTTTCTCCAATTTTCTTAAGCCTTTACCGCATTTTGCTTTTTCCCTTCCACGTGAACTTAGAAGGAATATTTTCCGGGTTTTCATTATTTGTCGATGGGGTAAGTATTCTGGCGGGATTTGCATTATAGGTATAATATTGGGTTGATTGTTGAGCTTGTCTATGGAGTGAGTAGATTTGTATACGGAATCTTTTCTTTTCTTCTTCTTTTGATACCAATCTGTATTCTATTGTTGATTCCCTCTGTAAATTTCAGCAGGATAGAGATGGTTTCGCATGGGTAAATTTTATCATTAGACTTTGTGACACTCGTCTGGATATTAGCGGCTGTGGGGAGATAGAAAAAGATCGTGAGCGAGGATTGTCACGAGTAGTCACTCGATAAACTAAAGCTTGAGTAGAAGTAGAATCTCGGCAACAAAAGGAACGCCCCCTCCCCCTCTTAACTCTGACAATAAAAGGGGTGTCCATAGGGAGTCTAGCACTAGAAATTTCAGTTATCGTGGAGCAGTTCTTTTGTTCCCTGGCATCTAGCCGCGCGACCCTCTAGGTTGTACTGTACAGTACTCTCTTTCAAAAAAAAAATTAACCATTCTTTGTTGCTGGCTGGCTGGGTAGGATATGTATTGAATGAAAACTGGTATAGTATTTTGTATGATATGGAAAACCGGGTAAGGAGGGGGCGGGGTGTTTCTTTTGTTCATCAAGCTCGTATTGTGTGCGACTACCTTGATGTGTATGATAAATATTATTATTATTGTGTCATATGTTCAGAAGGCACGATGCGAAAATAATTCGCACACGTCTATGATGGGAGAAACTGTGAGAGTGCCGGACGACTGGAAGCACTGGATGTGGAGTTCTAAAGGGCTGGAAAGTGAAATCCAGGGAACTATTTCGTATATAACTTGGATCAATATTTAGTTCGGATTACTTCACTGGATTATTGGTTGGAAGGTCGTGAATATGGCTGTTTTCAGTGGAGAACCCTTACGCTGCGCCAACCCCTTTGCGAACCACTTTATCCCAAGCTATATCATACTCCCCCGAATTACCCCCCCTCAAAAAAAAAAAAAAAAAAATGAAACCCCCATACCAATTAGCGAAAGCACCCATCCCATGCCGTCAAGATAAAGTTTAACACGCCAAGGCACAACAACAATCCACCACACCACCACCTTCCTTCCTTCCCCCCACTCAAAAGCCTCCACAAAATCACCACAACAAGCAAGAACCAACGACAATCCAATGTCAAAATTCTACTTTGACTCCCCTCCCTCAACAACCCCCTCCCCACCCCCCTCCCGCTCCCACCGCAACGCAATGGATGACGAAGACGACGAAAAGGACAACAACCCCTCGACCCTGCA